CCAGTCATTCGGTGCGTCCATCTGTCTCCTCACGTGCTCATCTGTCCATCTCTCTGTCCATTCGTCTGTTCATCTGTATTTCCGTTTATCCTCTGTGCATTCGACTGTATTTGATTTTTCATCGCTCAGCATGCCTATTCCTAGATGTGTTCATATATAGATAACTGCATTAATTTCAACATTATATTACATGGCCATTCCGATTGCATACAAATATTTCCCGTATAGATTATGAAGGTAAAAGAGCTTTAAAAGAGCCTCTGGTATATGTTGTACTGCTCTGAAGGTCTCATTAGGATCGTCTAACTAAAAGTGAAGTTATGCAATAAGCAAGCGGGCCTAATAGGCAGACATTGAGCGTAACACACAGCCAGAGATTGCATTTGTATGTGAGTGTGTGTGTGTGTGTGTGTCTTTGAGCTTATATCTTATGTAAACATTGCAATAATAGAGTTCCGGCTATCGCCTAGTGAAGCATGCTCTCCTGCTTTCTCTTTTGCCTGGAATCTTCTTATCGTTTGTCCAACAACAATAATTTGCATTTAAAGAATAGAACATTTGCTTTTGTACAAGGCTCTTAGAGGAATCATATATACATATTTTTATATATATATAATATCTGGCCGCAATCAAAAGCAAAAGCCGAAGCCACAAAACGCTGAACAACAGATATGAAAGCAGGCAAAAGCAAAGTACAGAAAAGAAAAGAAAAGAGAGCAAGAGGAAGAAAAAGAATAAGCAAAACGCTTTAAGTTGGCTAAAAGACGAATACACAGCGATTGCCTGTGTGTGTGTGGGTGTGTGTGTGTGTGGTACATATGTATTTTGACTTTTGTATATGTCCGTTTGAATTAATATTACAATGTCCTTAAGGTTTATTTGGCTTGATATTCCTTTTTATCTTTATATACATACATATATATGTATGTAAGAAGCATATACTCTTTTCTCTCTCTCTCTCTCTCACACACTCTCTCTCCCTCTCTAGTTTGCTGATTTTGATTTTGATTCGGATTCGCTTTTGGCTGTTTGCTATTTTGTTGTTCCGATTTTTTTTTTTTTTTTTGGCATATTAAAAATTCATATAAAATGTAAAACGCAAAATCCTCAAGACAATCATAAAAAAAATACACGTACACACGCACACAAAGGGGTTTTGCCCTTTTACACACACACATGCTCACATATATATACATATGTATATCAGATATACATATGTGCGTATAAATTTTGCATATATTTTGGCCATAAATAGAGCTGAGACGCAAAACGTTTGCGCAAATAAATATCAAATATGAATTCAGCTCAAAATCCACTTGACAACAACAATTTCTACTCACTTCTCTCTTGATTTTCGATTTAAATTTTGTATCTGGGTGTGCGTGTGTGTGTGTGTGTGTGTGGCTGTTTCGTATTTCGTTTTATTTATTTATTTATTCATTTATATGTCTCGAGCAGAAATCAAAGCACGTTACAAATGCTTCACTGCCTGCTTCATGCGCTATATCAAATGCACACACACATACGCACACATTTTTCACCTGTTTGGCGCAACCGAAAATCAACAACAACAAATTGCAAAATTTACTCAACTTGTGCCTTAAACAAATAACTGTAAAAGAAATATGTTTCTTTATTTGTAAAATATTTTTTAATATTTTTCCGCAATGCTTTTCACAGAATTTCAGTTGCTTTCAAGGCCAGACCTAAGCATAAATCTAAGCACAATCAATAACAGTTATGTACATACATAAATATATATGTATGTATGTGTTTAGACTTATAATCAACTATATTTTCTATACATATATATATTAAGCTCCATAAATTGTTTTCAAGGCACATTTGCTGCTTTTGCACGGCTTTTGTTTGAGTCCGGGACTTAACTCACTTAAATTGCCTGCCCCGATAAGTAGGCAACAGAAAATTGTTTGCAGCAAGTTTGGAAGTTCGCCTAAGCGGCGGGATGAGCGGTATGTAGGCTTGTCTCTCTCTCTCGCTCTCTCTCTCTCTTTGTCTATGTTTTTGCTTTTGATAACAAGTGAAATCAATTAGCACCTGAATCTGCTCGGCAGAGAGCAGCTTCTTCTGCTGCTTGTCCAGTCGAGCTGAGCTAATACAAATTCTAAAAACAATAAATGTCAATTTTTGCAGCGCAACTAATTCGCCAAAATTGCTTGGCTCTTGTTGCTGTTGTTGTTGTTGTTATTGCTGTCGCTGCCCGTGGCAAGCATGAAACAACGCCGCAGGCGACAAGTCACTCACACACCTAGCGAGACACATAGACACACACTCACGCAGCCATTCTGTAGCAGCGCCAAGTGAGGCAGCAAAAATTGAGAGAGAAAAGCCAAGAAAATATGACAAAAACAAAAAACAGAAAAAACTGCTTAGCAAAAGCCGACGTTGAAATGCTCTTGCAGTTTGTTGGAAATCCATTTATACATATATATGTGTATAACTAAATATAGCTGAGCTGGGCCTTGATTCATATAGATCATAATTCATGTTTAGCTGTCATAGATTGTGTGTTTATATAGTCGACTTGGTGTTTAACCTGCCTCCTAAAGTCATTCACATAAGGTTGTCGAAAATATATTAAAATATCAATATATAGATATATTTTTGTATAAAAAATATTTTTATATCGGCATATATTTTTTGCCTAAATATCGAATATTTTTAAAAGGTATTTTTGATATATTTGAGTGATAAGTGAACCAAGCGAAAAGTACAGAAATTGAATATGATGAAAACGAGCTATGCTGACTTTAAAAATGGAACAGCCAAATGTAATCTGTGCCTTAAAGTATAAAAAGAAGTGCCTAGTGTCGAGTACTGGAGTTAAGCGTTCTTTATCATATAAATAAAAAATACTTATTCGTATTATTCTTGCTTTTGGAGATGGATTATTATATCTAATAATGATATATCGATATTTTAAAAGTTGTATCAAATATCATATTGATATTTTTCAAACTTTAAAATATCATTGATACAATATTTTAAAAATATTCCACAACCCTACATTCGAACCAGATGAAAGGCAAAGTATAGATAGGAACAGACCAGCTGAGCTTAATGTACGCCTACGTCTATTTCATTATAGAAAAAGCATGCCAGAAAACTATGATACATTTATGCTACATATACATATGTATGTCTTATAAATACAGAAATGGATATCTGAAGAATATGTCACATTCACAATATCTCTGCACCATTAACTCATAGAGTAGCTTAATATTGTGTACATTGCTCTCTATACATTCAAAGGAAACTATACACATATTCATATAATACCATCAGGAGTAAATGCAGCCAAAGATATCTAAATTAGATTGCATTGAGGTAAATTTTGCCATATTGCCACAATGATGAACAGATTGCTGTCCACACATACATAGAAAATTATGTGTCTATGGGAAACTCTACACATTCACAAACTCACTACAATTCAATTCAATATCAATATCAAGCCATACAAGCTGGCTAAACACTGTTACTATATCGGCAATACACAAGTTAAACTGTATTTATGCTCGACTAAGCAGTACATAGTGAATGACATAATCGTAATGGCCCGATGCCTGTCTAATAATACCATAAACAAGTAGCTAACCGAGGGCGGCGACAACAATAAGCCATGGCCTGGCAACCCTGACGCTCCTTTTGGCCAAAGGCAAGGACATGACTTAACGATATTTAATTTCTAGGCATCCTCCAGCCTCCCCTCCAGCCGCCCCCCTAGCTGCCCCGACGCCCGCTTATACCATTTACATACTATTAATCCATAAAATTGTTTCCGTTCTGTACGCAAGCTGGAACACTTTTGGCATTTACATAACCTGAGCGACAGCAGCAGCCTCTGGGCCAGGTCTATACATGCGAGCCACAGTGGCATCACGTCCGTGCTCACGTGCTCAATGAGTAACTGAGCCTCAAATTACATTTGCACTGCTGCTGGTGTGGCCAAATGGCATTAGAATGTCATTTGCTTGCACTCGACATTCAGCTGCAGCTTCAACACACACACACACACATACACACAGAGAGAGAGAGAGAGAGAGAGAGAGAGCGACGCTGGACACACACTCACACATAGAGAGAAGCATTTGTCAACATGTCAATTGAATTTTCGGCATTTCATCTCAGTTTTATTCAAATCCATTTATAAATGCCCAACAATGGCATTGAGCCCCAGAGAACTATTTGAAGTTTGCATAACTCAAATCCTTCAGCTGGCTGACCTCAAAGCTCTCAAAATGTTTGCGTTTTCGGTGAAAAGTGTTTGGGGCTGCTGGCCGGGGCACAGTTAATAGAGCGCACTGCAATGCCAACAGCTATTTTGGCCATGGCTAAATGCATCTCTTTCTGCTGTTTAATTATATCTCCATGGCCAGCTTGCACAAGCAGCTTGCTCCAGTTTGGCTAAGAAAACATTTATGAGCCGCATGCAACGCTTACTTCTTGCTTTACTATTCTTTTCCTCTTTGTATTTTTAGTGCACTTCCATGGACATTTTCAAGGTGGTCCTAACTAATAGCAGACGTGCTGATCCATTGTCGAAAGCAAGCCAAATCGAAGTCTATCTATCTTCTCTTATCTGTTTGCTTACTTTTCTTGTATTTAATATTCATCTGTATGCTAAAATAAACTTGCTTAATAATTTTATTTTTCTCTAAATCTTCTTCCTTCTTCCCCTTCTTCATCACCTTTGTCTTTCTCTTCTTTTTATTCTACGTCTCTTTCTCTTTTCTCTTTTCATATTCTTCTTTTTCGCCTTCTTTTTAATCATCTTCTTCATCTTTGTCATCATTTTCGCGTTCTTCATCTTTGTTTTCTTCTTCATTTTTTTCACCTACACCTTCTTCTTCTTCATGATCTTCCTCTATCATCATCTACCTCTATGCTCATATGTTTATTTTTCTCGATTTTCGCGTTCTTCATATTCTTTCCTTTCCTAATCTTCATCTTCATCTTTGCCTTTTTCATCTTCATCTTCATCTTCATCTTCATCTTCATCTTCATCTTCATCTTCATCTTCATCTTCATCTTCATCTTCATCTTCATCTTCTTCTTCATCTTCATCTTCATCTTCATCTTCATCTTCATCTTCATCTTCATCTTCATCTTCATCTTCATCTTCATCTTCATCTTCATCTTCATCTTCATCTTCATCTTCATCTTCATCTTCATCTTCATCTTCATCTTCATCTTCATCTTCATCTTCATCTTCATCTTCATCTTCATCTTCATCTTCATCTTCATCTTCATCTTCATCTTCATCTTCATCTTCATCTTCATCTTCATCTTCATCTTCATCTTCATCTTCATCTTCATCTTCATCTTCATCTTCTTCTTCATCTTCATCTTCATCTTCATCTTCATCTTCATCTTCATCTTCATCTTCATCTTCATCTTCATCTTCATCTTCATCTTCATCTTCATCTTCATCTTCATCTTCATCTTCTCCTTCTTCTTTGTCTTTTTCATCTTTTTCTTCGTCTACACCTTCTTCTTCTTCATCTTCAACTTATTTTTCTGCTGCATCATCTTAATCTTCTTCATCTTCATCCTCTTCTTCTTCTGCTTCATCTTCTTCTCCTCCTTCATTTTCTTCCTCACCCTCACCTTCTTAATTTTCCTCAGCACATTCTTCTCCATCGCATTTTTCTTGGTCTACCTCAAGCTCTTCACTTTCTCACTTTGTTTACCCTGTATTTATCAATCTTATTCTTGGCCGTCGAACAATATTTTGTGTGCGGTTGAAGGCGGTTGCGGAGTGAGTGGGTGAGACTTTTGCGGCATGCGGCAAGTGGCATGTGGCATGTGTCCTTCCGGGCATTTCCAACTGAATATTTGAAAGTGGCTGTGCAACACTTGTTAACTATTTCACAGCTTCCTTTTAGCTTCCTGCTGTTGGCTGCCTTTACGCCTAAGCATCATTTATTGTTCCACTCTCGCAATATCGCTCGCTAACGGTTTCATCTTTCTCTTACTGTATCACTCTCTTTCAGCTCTCTCTTTAAGTCTATTCCACTCTCTGAGTTGCTCTCCATCTCTCCGATTCCTTGCCAGCGTTTCTACGTTTTTCTCTCTCTCATTGTCTCTTTTCCTCTTATTCGTGCTGTCACTTTGTCATTTTTCCCTTTCTTCGCTCTCATCCTCTTTCGCTTTCTTTATGCTTCATATTCTCTGTCTATCCTTTCCTTTTTCTCTGCTTATTTCTGGCTCTCTCATTTCTCTTTCATCTTTTTTTTTTTCATTCTCTATCATTCTCTCTATCTCGTTCTCTTTCCTTTTTTTTTCTCTAAGTGTCATTCCCATTCTCATTTTTATTTCTTCTCTCATTTGCTTTCTCTTAAATTTTCTCTTTCGCTTTCTCTTTTCCCTTGGATTTCAATCATCAATCATCTCTTTTTTCACTTTCTCTTAAAATTTTTCTTTCACTTTCTCTTCCTCTTTATCTCTCGTTCCCATTTGCTCTATCGTTCTCCCATTCCTTTTCAACGCCCAATTAATTAGATTTCAACAAACACTCACAGACACACACACACGCACTTACACAAACACACACACACGCATACACACACACACACACACTTATACACTTACAATTTGTCATAGTCAACTTTAGTGCGGTTAATGAATACCGTTTACGCCGCCGGGCGCGCCCCCTCTGGCACCCTTCCGCCGTCACGCCCCATCGTCCACCTCTCGCATTGGCAATTATTTCGTTTCGAATTGACAGTTAGATAATGGACAGCGGCCATGCAATCGCAATCATTTTTCAAAAATATCCATGCAATATTCGCCGCACATTCGGATAAATGAAAGCAAACAGCGACACGGGCAACGGCAACGAGCGTTGCAGTCGCACTTGGGCAACGACTGCGTAATGCTCGTTCAGGGTGCACAGTTAATTCAAAATTTATATATTATAATGGTCTCGAGGTCTATCTGTGAAGGTCTCCAGCTCGAAATCATATGCACAAATTGAATTTAGTTTTAAAACTGACGAAACTATGGGTCTCTTCCGATATATCGCAACTGAATTGGATGTATATATCGAAACTTCCATGTGATATATTGTAGGGAATGCTGCTGTCCATGATTCGCTACCCTTGCAATGGCCATATATACATATATATATGTATCTATCTACTATATATGTATGTTTTAAGTCGGGATATCATTTGCATGCATACAGAAGGGAATGCAACGAATATGCTCGCCTGTTGCTCTGTGAGCGGGCATAACAACAGTTAAATAAGGTACAAGTGCAAGAACCACAACAAATTGAGAGCGCAAGCTGTGACATAAATTAATTTATATGCAGCAATTACAGCAATTATCAGAGCCAAACACACACACACACACATATGCACAGACAAACAGACATACACACACACACACACACACACGCATACGCTCACTCATATCAATAAATAAATCAAGCATAAACGTTTTAATTAAAACCAAAATAAATAAAAATTATAATTACATATATTAATATTAAATACAAAATATTGCATGATCGACTAACACACACCCTGTAAATAAAAACAGCTCAGTAATTGTGCAACTGAAGCACAGCTGCATTAAATACATAGGAAACTGTATGCTCGACTAGTAGTTACTCTGTAAACCTATTTAAACAAGAGACAAGAAGTGCACCACTTATACCCTGTAAAACCATATGCACACATGTTGTTTGCTCTATGAGCTTTATTACTAATTAAATTGCATTAAATTGTATTTGCCAACCGTTTTATGGCTCAAAAATGTTTATTTGAGTGCTTGAACTTATCAGTTACCCTGTAAATTTAAGCGAATAGACTTAATGTCAGCTCATATCTTTTCATACGGCTAACAGCTCTGGTGCTTAAGCTTGATTTGCTCAGCTTCGAGTTAAGTTAAGGTCCTATCATATAGCTAGGACTTGACTTCTCTTCTAATGCGCAACCTCTATTCAAAGACTTGCAACACAATTGCCAAGTCTCTTCAACACAACTTCGTTTCCGTTAGCTACAGGGCATAATTGAATAAATTGATTCATTTATGCAGAGCGACGTATAGAAAATGCAGTTGCGGCTTATTCGCATTGGATTTGCGGCATTAATTATTTGCCGAATGTGAGTTTTCACAAATTTATATGTAGCTACATATGTACACAGGTATACATATGTACATACATATGTTGCATACATTTGAGCGGGTGCTGCATTAAGTATACGCCGTCGTTGACCACAGAACAACAGCTGAAGCAACAATTGCTGTTCATGAATAAACAAAAGCCACAAGAGCAAGGTAGGGAGAGAGAGGTAGAGAGAGGAAGGGAAGGGCAGAGTAAATCAAAGAGCGAAAGAGACAAAGACAGACAGCTGGTACCACCATATGCGGCCCCTCGTACAGCCAATCAAACAGTCAGCGGTTGTCAATTAAACTTAATTATGTTGTACAGCCAGAGACGCTGCAAGATGCTCTCTTGCCCAGGCACAGCACAACATATGCCTGCCTGCCTATGTGTGTGTGTGTGTGTGTGTGTGTATGTGTGCATCATAAATTGAAAGCTTGAACAATAGTAATTGAGCATAAAAAGCTGTGGTGTGTGCATGTGGGCGAATACAATTTACCTCCCACTCATAGCATAGACAATGTCTGTCTTTCAGTGAAATGAACTGAAAGGCAAGCCAAAGGCAACGGCAACAGCAAAGGCAACGGCAACGGCAAACGCTCTTAAGTAGCTCACATTGTAATGCATATGCCATAAATATGCTGGCACTTCAAACATTCTTAGTAATTTATCGTTGCATAGCCACATAGCCTCAATGGCATAAGCTACGTCTTTCGCTTAATGCTATTACCTATGCACGCTTTGATGTGCTTTCTTTTAATTTACTTTTTCAATCAATTCCATCTATATCTACTCTCTATTTATCTGCTCTGCTCTCCATTGAACTCAATTAACAATTTGCATCAACATAAATAACTTTTAAGAAAACTAGGTAAACTGCAGAAAAGAGAGCAAGTCTTGGGCAATTCTAGAGCATATATATGTAGATGCGTGTGCTTGAATAGGACGACAAGGTAAGTCGATTAAGTTATGTCTGTGCATCCGACTTAGAATAGCCATTAGATTGCCCTTCCGTCTGTGCGACTTCCTATGCATGTAATGTCCGTCCATCTGTCTGTCTTTCTGCCCATCCGTCCATCTTCATGTGTGCATGTCCGTCCGCCTTTCGGTCCGTCTGGCTCTCTGTCCGTCCTGTCTCTTTGTCCGTCTGCTTACCGCCGGTCTGTCCGTCCGTGTCTCTCGTCCGTCTGTTTACCGTCGGTCTGTCCGTCCGTGTCTCTCCGTCCGCGTGTCTCTCCGTCCGTCTGCTCATCCGTGTGTCTCTCCGTCCGTCTGTTCATCCATTCGCCCATCTGTCCATCCTTCCATTGGTCTGTCTGTCCGTCTGTCTCTCCGTCCGTCTGTTCATCCGTCCGTATTTCTATTGGTCTGCCAGTCCGTTCGTCCGTCTGTTCATCCATTCGCCCGTCTGTCCGTCCGCACGCCCATTCGCCCCTCTGTACGTCCTCTCCATCTTTCCCTTCGTCTGTTCCTCCGTCCGACCGTCCGAAACATATATTATTGTATATTGTATGCAGAACCAATTTCGACCTCGATAACTTTTCCCATTTGCTGGGTATCAATAATGATCAATATTTTAACTTGGGCTTTAAAACACTTACTACTTTTTATCTGTCTCCCTCTCTCAAGCTGGCTCTGTCTCGTTCTCTTCTGAAATGGATACAACAAATTGACTTTAGCTTCTAATTTCAGAGCGAGAGATGGCATTGGCATAAAATCAAAGCCAAAACAATGTGGAGTGAAATGTATTAGATGACGGAAACTGACAAAAGCAATAAATGAATGAGAGAGAGAGAGAGAGAGAGGAGAGTAAGAGAAATGCACAGAGAGTAGGAGAGGGAACGCTTTCATATATACGTTGAGGTATACCAAAAGAATTAAGAAACGTGAACCCATGGAGAGGTCAGTTTCAGTTCAATGGACGATTGCAGAAGTTGTGCTTGTAGTCTTTTTCTCTTTTTCGTTGCCCAATTTGTGGCCGAGTGGCCAATGTGAGTGGGTGGGAATTGTAGCCATGGTTTATTGTGTAAGCTAATGGTAGAGAATGATTGGGGGCCGTGTGGACATGGACCCCTGGGTTGCTGGTTGGTGGTTGGTGGTTGGTTGGCTTCGTTTTGGCGAGTCGACATGAAATACACAGCAACTGCTAAATTGCAGTAAATGACGGAAAATGTTAAGTTCGAAATTGACGAAGAGACGAAATGGTTTGTTGTCTACAAGTTTCGTGTAGATTTTCATTAGCAGCGCCAATGGCCGGCAATAAAACGAAATCAAATAAATGAAACGCTACGAAAAGTACCAGACACCATAGAGCTGCCTTTTACCTGTTGCCAGCGACTGTTGGGCCAATCGAAGTCGACTTGACGCCGTTGCTCAGTGGGCCAAATAAATTTATAACAACAGTTAAGTCGCTCACGCGACTGTCAAGACGCAACTTGACTGACTGCCCGGCACTGGGGGTGCGTCCCCAATTTCGCCAGCGAACAGACCCAAAGTCGAAAGCCACAACACTAATTCTCAACCCAGAGCCAGAGCCGGAGTCGGAGTCGGAGTCGGAGCCGAAGCTATAGCTGCCTGGCTAGCCGGTCTATATGGCTTGTGCGTGTTATAAAAATAAAAATGGTTCCACTCACACACATGCATAATACCCACACACACGCTCACATACATACCCAGACGTCTCTGGAACTGGGTGTGTATGTAGGTATGGCATACTCATTATGACGTACATTCATATATTTGTATATATATTTTTTTCATTTCTCATTTCTTTTTTTCTTGACGTATTTTTAGTTACGAGCAAGTCGACCAGGTCCTTGAACTTCATCGGAATGGCTGCGCTAGAGGCGTGACTGTAACTGTTACTTTAACTGTGACTGTAACTGTGACGGTGACTGCGTTAACTGTTTCTTGCATGCGTACAGCGATTGTACCCCTGGGACTCTAAGACTTAAGTAGACTTTGTGGATTTTCTAAAAGAATTTCCAATGGGAATTCTAAAAGTCTGCCAGAGATGAGAGAAATGAAAAAATAACGAGCAGATCGTAAAAATAAAAGACATGGGAGAAGAGAATATACGCAAATAAATGAGAAGAGAGTTGAAATGGAAGAAGGAGAAGGAGAGAAA